ACAAGCATATCAGTATTCTGTGATCTCCTGGATCGTGTGTTACATCGATCTCTATCTAGGATATTTATATGACGACATGTGTTCAGTGTTCCTCTCTTTTTGCTAGTTTGTGTACCATAGTCATGGGAGCAGCCCACCGTGAGCAGGGGCGGATCTAGCCCTAGGCCAGGGTGGGCCTAGGCCCAACCTCAAAAAAAATAAAATTACTAGTATATATATATATATATGTATATATATATATTATATATAATTCCTTTAGAATGATATAAAATTAAAAAAAGGAAGTTAGTGTATAACTGATAGGTTGGCAAGATGGAAGAAGTTTAATGCACATGCCTACATGACGGAAGTTCGAAACTCATCAAGAGTTTTTTTATTGATTTTTTTAATAGAGAGCATAGCTTACAAATTTCAATTTTCTTTCTTAAAATCTCTTTGTCCTTCAAACATACGGAGTATCTATTTAAAACTAATCTTCTAAGATCAATTACTACAAATGTTAGATGAGCTAGATGCTAATATTGTGAATGTTATTGGTCTTTTTGAATATTAGCCTGCAAAATTAATTTGTTCAATTCATTGGATTCGGTATGTGAAAATTAGTTCAATATATATGAGTTTGAGGTGTTTTTTGCGTTCGACAGAGATTCTTATTCCTGTTATATTTATTTCGTCTTTGACATTTATGTTGTAATAGATTTTATTTTAAATATATGAAAATAAATCGTGTCAAATAACATACTATTTTACTACATTTTGACTTTTCTTGTAATATACGTTATTTAATTAGATTTTGGCCCCACCTGAATGGCTATGCTGGATCCGCCCCTGACCGTGAGCATGATGCTCCCATAGACAAAAACATGTGTTATTGTTCACACGGGTGAATAGTAACTTTTTTATTTTGTTTTTTCATTGTCCAGTAGAGGGGGTGTAACTCACATGTAGAGAAATGCAATTCACGTTGACATGAAATGTAACTTTAGGCGAGTAAAAATGTAACTTGTCTAATACAAAATATTTGAAATAAAACATCGATTTCAATATAAACAATGAAAGAGTAATCTTATTGCTCAATTACTTTACATAAATAGTTAATTTGTTTTGTTTTTAACATTAATGTCATAAAAATGTGTTAAAAAACATTTTTTTTGCCAAAAAAAACATTTTTTTAAATTTCAATAGCAGGAGTTTATTTTATGATGAAATTTGTGTTATGATAAATGTAACTTGCATTGATGAAAAATTTAACTTAGGTGTATGTAAAATATAACTCGTTGAGATACGTCCAAATGTAACTCGCGCATAGGAAGATGTAACTCGCACATAAAAACATGTAACTCGTGCATAATAAGATGCAACTCCATATACTATCAAATGTAAGCAATGAAAATAATGAGTCTAATTGCTCAATTAACTTTACGTAAATAGTGAGTATGTTATTTTTTTTAATATTTAAGGCCATAAAAATGTTTTTAAAAAACTATTTTATATGTCAAAAATATATATATATTGGCAATTTTGTTTCCAAAGACAAGAGTTTATTTTGTGATGTAACTCATGTTATGAAAAATATAACTCTCATTGATGAGAAATTTAACTTAGATGTATGTAAAATGTAACTCGTTGAGACAAGTCTAAATGTAACTCGCGCATAGGAAGATGTTATTCATTCATAAAAATATGTAACTCTCGCACAAGAAGATGTAACTGCATATACTTTCAAATGTAACTACAGAAAGTGTCTGTAAAGATAACTCACACATATGGAAAATGTAATCTCATGTTTTATATATCAAATTTAAATTGAAATAAACAAACTTGAGTCTTAAAATATTACAAACATATGAAATAGATAAGAAATATATTATAGAAAAAGTGTATAAATATGAAAAATATTTACCATATAAATGTAAAAAAAATTGCCAAAAAATAAATTTGGTAGTAATTTTAGTTGAAGAAAAAAAAAGTAATCATATTAGTATATAATTATGAAATACAATATACCTATTTTGTGTGATTAATAAAATTTTGTAATTAATTGGTAAAGAAAAAAGTTAAATCAATTGTGATTTTATTAGTTAAAGATAAAGATAAGTAAAATCACAACTAATTTTTAGTTGTTGGTGAATAGGGGAAAAGAATTGAAGAATAAAGAAAGGGAAAATAATTAAAATACCCCAAATTATGAAGTGGTGTTAGATAAGTACCCCAAACTTGTATATGCTATTTAAATACCGCAAACTTTATATAAAATGTTATTTTAACGCCATGGTCATGTATCATTTCTTTCAAACCTGTGAATTTAAGATGTTAATTGCATAATATAAAATATAAAATTGAAAACTTTGCAATTATATAGAGTGGGGGTTAATACTATTTATTTTACAATTGAAGTTTAAAATGTTAATTGTATCTTCATGAATGCTAAAATATTTTATATTATGAAGTTTGGGGTATTTAAAGTTTGGGGTTCGTATATTATGATCATATACATTATTAAAGTGCTAAAATAACTATTTGTATGAAATTTGGGGTATTTAAATTACATATGTAAGTTTGGGGTGCTTACTTCACACTTTTTCAAATTAATGTTTGAGTTATTTTAATTATTTCCCCTAAAAAAAGACAAAGAATCCTATTAATAAAAACCAGATTTAGTCAATTCAATTAATACAAACCATTTGTATGATACTCCTATTTTTCAAAGAAGAGTAATTTTTAAGCAATGGGGAGATTAATAATTTTTTAATACGAAGTACTCCCTCCCTCTATCCCATTTAAATGTTTTCATCCAATTTTCTCTAATCAACGTGAATTGTTTTTAATCTTTGATTTTATATATCTAACATTTTCTTTTTGACAGAAATAAGCTTAAATTGATAACACATCATTCAGATAGTAAGTAAATCCAAAACATGACTCCTGAAAACCGTCGTCCCTCAAAATAGGCTCAGAGTTCACCGCCGTTGCAATATAACACGTTGATCTATTAATTGACACAAATGAGTCAAAGACGGACAAAACAATCAAATCATCACCCACATCCAAAGATAAAAACATCCTCTTACAACCTGCATAAAAGAAACAAACATAAATCAACAATTAAAATAAATAAAAGCACAAAAATAAAGGTCTTCGTTCAATCCACCCAAAACCCCAAACTGTCACGTTCCTGGTGTAGACTCACGCCTCGTTGACGATGGCGGCGGCGGCGGCTCGGGAGGGGGACGAGCCCCCGGAAACGACTGCTCCATGCGGATCGCAGCATCCTCCTCCATGAACATCAATTCGTCCTTTCAGTCCAGATCTCCCTACCGCCGCACTGCCCGATCAACTTTTCTAAACTATCTTGAGTCCTCTTCAGTCCAGATCTACTTCATCCTCATCCAGCCGCGACCCGTCTGCCCTGGCCTTGTTTGCAATCTTCACCATATAGGTGCTGCGGGACATGAACCATTTGCATTCGTATAAACAGGGAGCCGTCAGAGAATTCCTCATCGCCAGAATAATTAGATCCAATCACTAGACAACCCAAACCTGCGAACAAAAGAAAAAGGTAGAGACTGTTGAAAGTTTTCTTCGACAGATCAAGACTCACACTAAAAGAGATAGCACGCCTGAAAGCAAGTATGAAGCTGCAAGAGAAATCCTAATCTATCCGCACGAAGGCCGGCGGCACAAAACGGAACCCACCTAGAGGGAGAGACCACCTATATGGATATATTACATGTGAAAAGGTAACAGTTAAAAATTTATATATCCAACATTTATAAAATTTAATTTTTCTTCCCATGTACTTTGTATTATAAGTAGTTTCATGTAAATTTTATTTTATAAGTGCCGCGATTTTGATTCTTTTACCAATCTAATGTAGATACCAAACTTCATGAATCAAGCAAGCAATATTACTTGTATGCGAACATTTTCAAGCCTAATTTCCTACTGCGAACTGGATTTGCTGTGATATTGAAAGGTCAATTCATTATCACTAATTCACTTTAATCTCGAGGAGATTAATCTCGGCGATCCACAGTAATTTGTCGATAAGTGATAAACCCCAACGCTATATGCTGAATTTCTCACTATTCCGATAGCTTTTAGCTGTTAAGACCACACCGCCGGACATTGGTGACCGGAAGCCATGGCCGGAAGTGAAGAGGACTCAAGTAAGCCATCCTCATCACTCCACGAGCCAACCCAACCTCTCCTCTCTAAGCCGTACCTTCCGATCGACGAACTTATACCCCCCAGGTCTCATTCCGACGCCGAAGACCAATCCCAGATTCCCCAGATCTCCTACAACTACGGCCCACGCCATATCAAGGACCTTCCTTTCCTCCTCATCTTCCTCGTCCTAGTCCTCTCCACCTTTGGCTTCGGAATCTTCGCCTCCGTCAACCGGAACCCTCACCGCTCTCACCTCTCTTCGTTTGTTTACAACACCACTTCGCACTCCTGCACTCTTCCAGATTCCGGCAACCTTGTATCTCTACGGTTATCAGATTCCGGCGTCTTGAAGAGCTTGATTTGGACACTCGTCGTCACTCTGCTCTTGAGCTTGCCCTTTGTTCTGTTTGTGCTTTTCCTGCTCAAGCGTTACACGAAGCAGATAGTTTACTCTCTGTTTCCTTTCTTCATAATTGTTCCTGTCTCCATAAACATCTACTGGTTCGTTGCCTGCACTGTGAGCACAACTTGCAGAGATGCATTTCCCATGGGGTATCGGATTTTGGTGCTTGGATTCGTATTCGTAATCATAGGAGTTGTTGTTTGGATCTTCATTGTGAATTGGAATAGGATAGATTTGACTGTGCGTATAATCAGAGTTTCTTCTAATGCTCTCTCACAGAATTTGAGGCTGTTTGGGGTGCTCCCTGTATTGACTATGGGGATGTTTGCATACTATGCTCCCATTGTTATTTTCTTAGTTTTTGCAAGGTTGAATGGAAAAATTATACCTAAGGAGGAACACCACCATGGGGGAGAATACTATTGTGGTTGGAAGCAAGACAAATGGGTGCTTGCATACTATGCTTTAGCTATTCTCACAATGTTATGGTCTACCACAACAATGATCCAAGCTCAAGTTTATGTTATCAGCGAGACGATAGCACAGTGGTATTTCTGCAAAGATGATTCCAGTTCCAAAAAGAGCATAAGAAGATCCATCAGGTATCCGTTTGCTATACTTCATTCTTCAGAATAAGACTCCTAATTATGGATTGCACTTGATAGAACTAAAACTTATGACACATTCTACTATAGGAATACTTTAATTTTTTCTTATCAAATTAGGGTCTCTTTGTTACTGAACTTAAGAGCTAAAATTTCATAAAATCGGACTATCATATTTTTTTCCTAAAAATAAGATTGGCTCACTTCTTTTATGGAAGATTATTAAATACTTTATACTCTGTATTATTTTTTTGAATTATATGAGTTCGTTTTTAGCAAAAACGATAATACTATTATTGGTGCACACACATCATTATTTGCTCCTATTTGTAGTAATTTATATAAAAGAAAAACCATTGTTAGAAACTTACTTGTTAGGAGTGAATGATTCTTAATTTGGGGAGAAAACAATAAAAGCCCTTAGAAATATGATGTATTCTTTTTAAGTTTTTTTAGTGCTACTTAGAGCAGTTATGAGTAAGTAATTGCACTTGGCATAATATAGGAGTGAATGTCACTTTGATACTTTTAAGCTTAACCTGATGCTATAAAACAGTGCCTTGTTGAAGTACTTAATGGAAGGTATAGGTACAAGTTTCATTTGAAATTCTCAGTTATAACTTATAAGAGCAATGAATTAAAAAGAAAACAAAGAAGAACGAAAAGTCCCCAAATTCCAAAGGAGAAGGTGGACTTCCATAGTTCCATTATGTTAACTTCTTTTCTTCTTAATTTTTTTGTTCATGCTAATAGTTGTTGACCAAGTGGAGGGAGAGTATGCATGTAGAGGATTGATATTTTTGAATCCCTTTTTCTCTATTTATTACTTTCTATTATTGTTTATTATTTTTTAACTGTGATGTCATATGTCGATTCATGTTAGCCAACCCCAAACTTTTTTCGGATTAAGGCTTGGATGTTGTTGTTTCTTGTTGTATCCAAATAGTTTTTAAAGCTCTGTTGAAATCTTGCAGAAATGCTTTCGGTCCATCTTCAGGCACACTATGTTTTTCTGGGTTGATTGTCTGTGTTGTCCGTGTGGTGAGGGCCGTGGTAGACAATGCAAGACAAGAGGCTCCTGGCATTGTAAACCTCTCTCTTAAGTTCTGTGCAAACACCCTTCTGTCAACAGTTGACTTTCTAAACAAGTTCACAATAAACTTTGCTGCCGTTACTGGCGAATCCTATTGCACTTCTGCCAAGATGACATATGAACTTCTAGAACGTAACCTGCTGTCAGCAGTCGTTGTGGAGATTGTCTCCACCCGTATTCTTGCTGGAATTTCTTTCGTCCTTTCTGCAATATATGCGATAGTGGTGAGTTTTTCTTGTTGGTTAACATTGTATTGATGTTAAACTACACCCCACATAAGGAGTTTTTCTCACTTTTAGTCCTTTTAATTTTTTGTATTGACTCTTTGGTACATGGCTTTGATTTATCTCTTTTAGGGCTTGCTGAGATGATTTAAAATTAAAATGGTGTTTCACAGGTTTGTGCTGTATTGAAAGCTGGATTTCACATAGGAGTAGATGCATACTTTGTTGCTGCCATGGCATGGGTTCTTCTGATCGTGGTTCTCGGATTATTCATCCATGTGTTGGATAATGTAATTGATACTGTATATGTGTGCTACGCAATAGATAGAGACATGGGAGAGACGAGTAAGCGGGAGGTCCATCATGTGTATGATCGCCTCCCAATCAGTAGAAGTAGATCACCTTATGCTGCCCAAAATCCTTCGGCTTCGACTGTATAAACCAACCACAACCCCCTTTTAAAATGGGTTTCTGTTGTAACTTTGAATGTTGGGGGGTCATGAATTCATGATATGAATAATTATCTGCCGGAAAGTAAGTGTGTTATTACGGACCGACTGCCCCTTGACTCCCTCCCTGATGTAGGACATGGACTTTTTCACGAATAAGAGTAGACTAAGTAGTCGAACACGCTCATTGTTTACGCACAGGTAGGTCTCCATGTTTGGCATCTCATCAACTGTTGCACTTTTGCATTACTTTAGTGAACACTGTTATCATGGAAATTATTTTAAAACTGCTTCAGCGCTTAATTTGTGCTAGAAGGGTTCAATGATTTACACAGTTCATTCTTTGTTACTTGCAATGTTTTTACTATTCACATCTTCAATATACAACAACATTTGGTTTATAAGTGTACTCCGGATTAAAAATGACATTATAGAAAAGTGAAAATAGAATTGTTGCATCTCAATTCAAGAGTGCTTGAGTGCCTTGCGGCAGGAGGACGTCAGAGGGGAAAGTCACGCCTCAAGATGCAGACCTTGAAATCTCCCGCTGTTGAAATAATGATCGAAGCCTCCCAAAGGCCAGGCACGATGCCTTGCTAGGAAGCAAGGCTGAGAATCCAGGTCCGATGAAGTACTACTCCTGTACTCCATATATAAAAAAGAAAAGGCTTGTTAGTAGTATCCCTCAATTTAGTTTAAGCATCTACCATTTAAGGCAAATAATATCGATGATTCTTCCAAATTTAGTGTGCAAGCTCAGCATTCTCTTTTAATCAATAGGGAATGGTATATGTAATTATGGGTGCATCATAAAATTATTCTTATTCTTTATTGGGAAAATTGTCAAATAGGTCCTCGTACTATTGTCAAAATGTTAATTAAGTCCTCATACTTATAGATCGGTAAATTAAGTCCACCAACTCTTAAAAAACAGCCAATTTTGCTATTTAGCCGGTTGAATATATATTTTACCGGTTAGTAGCTGATGTGGAAGCAATTGTGGCAATAATTCTGACTTTTCCTTTAACTCGTTTCTTCTTTTTTCTTTGTCTTTTTTTTTTCTCTCCTTTCTTGCTGACTTCTTCTTCCGCCTACTTGCAGCGACGATCTTCTAATTTTTTTTCTTTATTCCTCTTCTCTCTACATTGTCTTTCTCCTCGTCCAATTTCTTTCTTTTCCAATCTTCTTCACTTCTTCCATTCTTCCCGGTTCTCATTTTTTGGATGGGCAGCGGGCGCCGGCGGAGGTTGAGGAAGACATGGAAGGTGGGCGGCATGCGGAGTCAGCTAGGTAAGCTTTGGCTGTGGGGCTACGGGAGGCGGCTGATGGCGGTTGAGAAGTGTAGTTGACGGGCGGCAAGCGGCGGCTACTAGGTGATAGATGATTTGCTGGCTACCGGCGATGGGCGGCAAATTTAAGAAGTCGTGGGCAACGAGCGATCCCCGATAGCGGTTGGAGAAGCCAGAGAGACTGGCGATTAGACAAGTTGTGGCTTTGTGGGCGACCGGTGTTTAGACGAGCTGCGGCGCCGCGGCGGCGACGATTGGTCCGCAGTGACCAATGAGGAAGAGATGGGCGGCGAAGGTTGATGCCTTTTGTGGAAAGAATTACTATATAGAATAAGAAAGAAAGAGAGAATGAAAGAAACAAGGAAAGAAGAAAAGAAAAAAATGCAGAAACGCACGCAGGTAAAAGCAGGGAAGAAGCGTGTCATGTCTGTGCATTTGACCTTCAACCGGATGCCAACCGGTTAAATGGCCTATTTGAGTGTTTTTTTAATAGTTGGTAGACTTAATTGATTGAAAGATAAGTACGAGGACTCAATTGACTTTTTGAGTCAATTAAAGTTGTGCCGTGTATGAAAAATAAAAATAAAAGTTGTATTGTTAAAATTTGTGCGAGAAAAAATAAGTAGAATCACGAATTGATAACTTTAAGAGCCCGTTTGGAGAACTCTGTTTTCGGCTTATCAGGCTTATCAGCCAGTTTTTTCACCAAACACGTAACTTTTACTTTCGCGCGCTGAATTGTGTAATAAGCCGAAAAAGTAAGGTTGGAGTTACTTTTCTGGCTGTATTGGCTGAAGTTACTGTAGAGGACCATTTTAGCTATTTTTACATATAATTTTTTCTTTAATTTATTAATAAAATATATTTTTAAAATATTTTTTTCTTAAATCAGCAGAATCAGCCAAAACAGCCACTCCAGCCAGAATATCATAAATTTCAGCAGAATCAGCCAAAACAGCCGATTTTGGTGCTACCAAACGGGCTCTAAGTTTATAACTATACTTTCTCATACATATAGTTTCCATTCTATAAATGTCAATATCCTCGATTAGAATGAGTTTTGAACATATGATCTTCCTTTGAAAGTGCTACATTGATATCATTGAACCACAAAATACTGTATTTGATAATTAATTAATTATTTTAAGTTTAAATTAGAACAGAGTAAAAAAATCGGTATTCAAAGAGGAAAGTTTTACGGGACTGGAAGTAACGGAGTTTTCTCATTATCTATCCACTAGTTTTTCACCCGTGCGTTGCACGGGGTGTAGTTAGTAAGCATTAAATTATTTAAAAAGATTAAAAATATCATAGTAAAGATAAAACATCACATATACTCTTTATTTACTGGAATAAGTGAAGATAAACACTATAAATTATTATAAATTTGCTTCTAAACAACACTTAAAACCATCTTGATCAGTTTATGTTATGAGTATAAATACTTTCAAATTTGAATGTTTTGTGAATTTTCGTTTTCGAAAAGAAAAACAAAACTAATGTGAACTCTTCATAATATTTTTCTACAAATCATTGATAGACCAATATTTTATTTATTATTAGTGTTATCCCATTTATCCAACTATATATGCAGCATAAATTAAGAGAAAAGGTCTAAATAGTCTTTTCTATTATTTTTCATCCAATTACTAAATCATAAACTTAAAAATTATTATACAAATATATTTACTTTGAAAATCCGATCAATCCAGCCATTTAACCAATTTTGACCCATTATATCGTGTTAGTTTTTGAAGAGAACCTCTAAAAAGTCTTAAATTAAAAAAATGTAATAAAAAAGGGTCAAACTATATATACCGTATATTTTTAAAATTTGAAGTTTTAGTACTCCTTCCCGTCCCAATTGACTTTGTCAACTTTTATATTCTGTTTGTTTTAAAACAGTTTACCACTTCTCTTTTAAAGCAATGAATTTATGACTCTTTCATTTTCTCTCCTATGCACAAATTCTAACCAGTTTTAACTATTCTAATTTCACACCCAACATCAACATGACAAAGTTGAGTGAGACGGAGTTAATAAATTCTACACCTTTTTAAAAGGTTTTAGATTTATTTAAAATTTCAATTTACTACTTTTGCATTTCTACTTCTATATTTTTATAATTTGATCATGTGAACTTTTTAAAGATTTATCAATTTTCTTAATTTATTTTATTTAATAATGTCCTACTATTGAACGTCAAAATGACTGGATTGATTTTCTTTTAAAATGAGTGTGCTTATATATCATACTTTTTTGTATAGGAATTCAAGTGATGAATTTGAAATAGTAAAAGGTCTCTTTAAATATTTTCCCATAAATTAATTCGGACACATTTGACACTATTTGAAAATATCATATTATTGATCTAGAATTCGTTTTCAGTTTATCATTTCTTTTATCAAGCTGCACTTTATAAATTCCCGTATATCCAACCATGCAAGCTTAAACAAAAAAGTAAATTGTGCGTCTATATCCCTTAAATTCTTTTATCAAGCTGCACTTTATAAATTCTCGTATATCCCTTAAAACTTTGTCATCTTTCCTTTTTTAGATGTCCCAAAATACGTTGTCACTTTTCCTTTTAATCATTTTTTTGTGGCTTCTGTTATCTCTCTCCTCTACATAAACCTAATTAAAATGGAGTATCGATTAGTAAATATTGAATACGTAGTATTAAAATTGAAGTGATAAAAGTAGTTCAAGTTCAAATGAATAAACCACAAAATATTACTTCAATATAAAATTGTATAACAAATGAAGAGATAAACCACAAAATAATACTACATCTGTCCCATTAACATTGGGACATGAGGATGCAACACGATTACTAATAAAAGTGAATTTATGTGGTTATTAAATTGATAATTGATAAAGTAAGATTAAAGTAAAAATAAATTAAAGTTACACAAATTTTACCAAATTTGGTATGACACAATCTTAATGAGATTTTCCGAAAAGAGAAAATGAAACAATCATAGAGGGACGGAAGAAGTACTTCAATATAAAATTGCATAACAAATGAAAAGAAAAATGACATAGTTCAATGACACTAAATTATTCAATCTTGAAAGAAAGGTAGAAAAACAAAAGTAATCTCACAACATAAAAGAATAGTAGAAAAAATGTTTCAGGAATACTAATTCTGAATCAGCATGAAGAATATTCAAAGGGTTTCCTCCCGTGGGCTTTCAGCTTTGTGTGGCATCAACTCCACATATGGTTTGATATCAATGTCATCTTCAACTTTGATGATGAGTGTGGAGACTCATAATCCTTATCTTTGGAGAAGGTATTTGCCCTGCCAGATGAGTACTAATTACATGAGGGAAACTAATTAAACAGAAATTATATCTTAAAGCTTCTAGTTTGTTTTCAGTCATATTATGTCATATTTTTCACAACATTAATTCAAAATTCCACAATTCGTTATTAAAGGAATTAAACAAATTTGTAAGGATAAAACAAATACAGGATTGACCCAAGAAAAATGACAGTCTACATGGCGAAGAAATTTTAGGCTCATCACATCGGAGCCATGCTCTTTGCATAAATAAACGTGTAGAATAACATCTCATAGCAGAAGGTTTAATTCAGTAATTAATTTACACCCAATAACAATAGTTAAGAGTTTAACTGATTTGAGAATCTAAAGGTTGCATAGTGAAGATTACACCAAATAAAAGACACTTGAAAGAGTGCCCTTAACATAGCATAATAGGGATGTGAGAACTGAAAAAAATTAACATGGCATTGTTAAATTGGACATCAAAATGACCACAACAAACCAACAACAAAGGTCAACCATATGTTAATGTTATCTCACAAAGAACACTTCAAACCAAACAAAACTATTAACCTTAAACTCTTAAAGCTAATAGAGGGCTTCAAGATTCTCAAAATGATTTTAAAAAACAGAATGTCTTATTAAAAATATGTATTTTAATGTGATCCCACTTCTAAGAATACACATCAATCCCATCAAAAAATAAGCAACGGATTAGAGAAATAATGATTACTGAATTCTAATCTACCCATGTTCAAGGAACAAAATTTGTGAGAATCATATACTTCCTATGTTCTTAAATAAGCGCAACATATTAAATTTTACACTATTCACATGTTCCAGTTTGACTACGTTTTACTTAATAATGTATTAATGAATAATTTTCAAAAGAATATCGTTAAATTGTCTCATTGTAAATGTTTTAAAATCTAATTTTTTAAGTTTTTACTAATTAAGAATTATATATATCAATAGTTAAAGTTGTGTATCAACAAACGTGAGAAGTGGACTATTGCACTTATTTAAGAACGGCGGAAGTATGATTTATATTATATAGGAAAAGATATGCAATAGTAATAATTTAAGACAGGTATATGTGATTATATGTATATACTTCCGGAAGCGATATTTGAACAAAGTGAGAGGTCTTAAATAGATGGAGTAATAACAATCTAAATAATGAGCACTTATGGACCATGTTGACTGAATTAGTTTTTACATTTCATTAAGACTCTTTGGTCTAAGTTTAAACCTACTTAAATTAGTGATCTTTGTCAAATGTTAATAGATACATTATCACTCAATTTTGGAACTATCTTAATACATTCCTGCTAAAAATAGGAAACTCAATTAATAAAAATAGTTATATCAGTCTAAGAATTTTTTTTAATCAAAGTTTTACTTTAATAAATGAGAAGTTTGATGTGTGTATGATTGTATGAGCTAAGATTATATGTGTTCCTGAACAAAATCACTTAGAAAAACAAATAAATAAAACTAAAAATACTCCACCCCTGATATTACATTTGTACTTCTCAGTTATGAAAAAGTGAATTACAATGAGTTTCCAATGCATGCTATGTCTGATCACAAACTTCAATTAAATCACAAACTTCAATTAATAATCCTGGGAGAAGAATATATTAACTGATAATCTATGTTTGGAACATTGTTTGATACTATGCAGATTTTATTTCTGTTTTATTTCAACCTTCATATCCATATACTCCAAAATACTATGCAGATTCTTTTTTTGCTTTCATTAAGCAAAAAGTGAAATGTAAATTGTTGTTTTTGTATCATTTTCCAATGTGTAGTTCAGATTTTTGAGCGATTATTAATATTTTGGGAAAATCAAAACAAACTATTTTACTATACTTATCATTGAAGAACGAAAATGGTATGAAATAGAAACACAAAGATACAATATTTTGACATTATTAATAGTTCATCTAAACTGAAAAAAACTCACATCTGCTCAAATGAATCAGCAGTTTTAACGCCATGTATCATATGTAACACTTATTATTCATGAATATTTAGAGCCCGTTTGGAGAACTCTGTTTTTGGCTTATCAGGCTTATCAGCCAGCTTTTTCACCAAACACGTAACTTTTACTTTCGCGCGCTGAATTGTGTAATAAGCCGAAAAAGTAAGGTTGGAGTTACTTTTCTGGCTGTATTGGCTGAAGTTACTGTAGAGGACCATTTTAGCTATTTTTACATATAATTTTTTCTTTAATTTATTAATAAAATATATTTTTAAAATATTTTTTCTTAAATCAGCAGAATCAGCCAAAACAGCCACTCCAACCATAATATCATAAATTTCAGCAGAATCAGCCAAAACAGCCGATTTTGGTGCTACCAAACGGGCTCTTAAATGTTTAGGGCTAAAATATTTGGGATTGTCTGTAAAGAGGGATGTAAGTACACTACATACATTCAAGAATAAATATATGTAAATACCTTCCATTTAGTACAAAAATAAATTATAATTCAGTCCTTTCTCTCAATTTGAAAAGAAGGGTGTTATATGATACCTTCTTAGTATCAAGAGCGAGTCTGCAAATGCAAAAATAGTATCAATATCTTTATCATCTTTATCATCCCAGTAGCATCCTACAATTGAACTCAAAAAATATCCAAATCAATAGTCTGAATAAAGCTCACACTAAGAGATCATATTTACTTATTTAAGTGTTGATTGGTATGTATGCCTCTCTCAATAAGAAAGATTGAGTCCAGCTATTGAGGTTTAACCAAAGTGAGTATTCTTCTACTATCAAATTTCTATAGAACATGTCTCACATATAGAACATGTTACTCATCACAATAGGACAAATTAAATTAGTAAAAAAAATGTGGACAAAATTACTTTTATGAATTCCTGATCCAACACTTAAATAACCGGGTATGAGGATGCTATATGTAGAAAAGGAGAAATAGGTCATATGCTTAGTTAATTGAGTTTTTGATTCCTGGTATTTCTTCGGTAATCTTAGGTTCATCTGCTTAGTTTGCAACAACCATCAATGCATATTGTGAATCGTACTTCTCACAAGTTTGTTTATAAGTTTTGTCTGAGACTTATGTTTTCAAATAAAAGTCATATTGGTTCAATTATTTTTATATAGTTTTTTACTAATTAGTCACTAAGAATCTAAGCACACTAAAAATCCTAACATCTACTTATAATGTGCACTCATTAGTACAAAGTACTACTCCGCGCTCCTATAGATTTGTGAACCATTCTTAAAGAGCTATTGAGCTGCTTCAATTATGCTTCAATTTTGCAGTCAAGATGTTGATATGTCTCAAGCTAAAGTTAAAAAAACTGCTTAAATTATACTCCGTAATACATATGTCAGACAAAATAAGGATTGTCATGAAGACATTGATAATTGATTAACATCAATTGGCAGGATCCTAAATCCCTACCCCAACACACACCAAGATTTAGTTTTTGTTCTATGCAGTAATATGTAGGTTAAACTTCAAGTGTATTAGTATAAGTTAGACCATAATTTCCCAACAAAGAAACATGATGTTGTCTTACCAACTTACCTTGGTCATCACAAGAGATGTAATATTATGAATATTCGTTTCAATAAACATATGGAACACATTAACAATGTCATGTTCACCAAATGTGAATATATGATGCATAGAAGTACTGGGAGAGGAGAAATTTTAAAATTAGCATATTTGGATATATTTGATTGAGGAATTCCAACAAATACCATTCTAGCAAAATATTCAATAAAAAGTATTTACAAATTCTTACGAACACCTAATGTAGTTTCACAAACAATTCAATTGATCATAGCCATCTCCATATAAGCCTAGTAAATATGAAATCGGTTAAAAATCGAAGATGGATTATATGATTAAGAAGAAGAACTTACCTCGAGCTCAGTTTGAATCCGCTGTATTTTGGCTAAGATGATTTCCGGGACTGGGATAGATGACTCCTTTTTCCGCAAAGATGGATGAAGAAATACCCATCTTCCTTTTCGGATGACTTCCGGGCAGATGACTCTTGTAGATGATTTCGGCTAGATGCAAATTTCCCAAGAATTTTTACGAAGCTTCCTAGTTCTATATGAGAAGCGCAGGGTAAAGGAAAGTGATCTAGGTAGACGGAATCAGAAGGTCAAGGTAAAGGGAGCCGTGAATTTAGTTGATGAGGATCAGACGGATGTCAGTAAGAGTTGGGGTGAGCGGGAATTTCATTTCTCAAATTGTAGTGCTATTAAAGAGAGGATTCTCCAAGTAAACAAGGTCAAGTGTCAATGTGTCATGGGGTGGGGTCGCAGTATGCCAGTATCAAAGTTGCCTAGTTGCGCCATTGGCATTCCTATTTTGTCATTGTTGTTTGACCCACACCTTTCTCCTAGTTTTCATACAATTCTAGCACTTCACATCACTTGACTAGTTGACTCACATAATAACATCAAAAATATTACTCAGTAAACGCCGATTACACCTCTAATTGCACGTACAAATGTCAATATTGGTACAAAAGCAATTGTACTTGGTCGTGTAATACCAATTTTGTAGTAACATTTAACTTAAATTCATTCTTCAATTCTAACATAATGCTCATAAAATGTATTTTCAAGATTGAAGACAAGAATACCATTGTAAGAGTAAATTGTTTCTTCTCTCTCTAGGGTTATCGGCCGATAACCCTTGGCTCTGTTTTGTCCGCCTTCGAGAATATCGAAGGGCGAGATTGATTGGTGGTGCTGGGCGGTGCACTTTGGAGGTCTGGACAGTAGGTGTTTAGGATTGGTGGAGAGGGCGGTGGGTCTAGGGTATTTGCTCGAGCCGTTCGGAAGCTTGGGAAGGCACGACGAAATCAGGAGCAGGGAGTTCCTATAGCTGGTTGCGGTTACCTGTGACTCTCAGTAGCAGGGATATCGGCGAAGGAATTAAGAAGGCATATGAAAAGTTTTGTTGATCGTTACAAGCAGATGGCGATTGGTGATGATGAAGAAGAGTTAAACCTCGATGAAGGTGAGGTTGAAGGAGGGTCGGTGGAGGCGACAACGACGGGTTTCCCAGTGATCGGACAGGTGCTGACAGACCGCAAAGTCAAGTTCCCGGATCTCATAGAGACGATGCTTACACTTTGGAGGTCGGGGAAAGGTATATCGGTGAAAGAGATTGGTGATAAAAGGTACCTGTTTTCGTTTAATCATCGTTTTGATATGAAGCGTGTGCTTGAAGGAGGCCCTTGGCAGTTTGAGCGTAGTTTTTTAATGTTAAAAGAAGTTATGCCTGATGATATTCCACACAAAATTATTTTAAATAAGACTGAGTTTTGGGTTCAGATTCATAATGTTCCCTACAGTCTTGTTAATTTGGGTACTGCCAGACGTGTGGGTAATTTTATTGGGGAATTCATTAAATATGATGATAACCAGAAAAGTGATAAATTAGAGCCTTATATGAGGGTTAGGGTTCTTATGAAGATGGATAAATAACTGAAGAAGGGGACAAATCTGAAAAAAGATGGTAAAAGTTTTTGGGTAGACTTTAAATATGAAAGATTACCCAACTTTTGCTTTATATGTGGTATGATTGGACATTCAGATAATTTATGTCCCTTAAATTATGAGGAAGGCTCTGTTTTAGATAAAAGATTTGGAATCCATCTTAGAGCAGGTAGTGGGTGAAGACCAGAAATAGTATAATTGAAATAATAAAATAATTTCTTATTACCAATTTATTAATAATCAGAAATAGAAATTTAAATTTACATATTCTTAAGTTACATAAAAATACTACTCCCTCCGTCCCATATATATTGTCGCAGTTCTTATTTACTTGGTCAACACAAATCACTCTTAATTTCTTACTTTATATATCAAAAATTTATCAAATTTGATTTAGATTTTTGCGACTTTGTAAAGCTTTAAATATAGTTTCTGAATATATAATTTTTTTCCCTAAAAATAATTTGAGTGCGGACAGGGATCTGTTTGCTTTATCGTCGGTCAAACATCGTAAACCGTAAAGAGACAATATAAATGGGACGGAGGTAGTACGTAATATAAAGTCTCAAAACTTGGAATTAAAATACTCTCTATAATACTGTCAAATTCTGGTATGTAAAATTAGAGTTTAAAACCGAATTGTATTAATTAGTGAATAAATCCATAGTATTCGAACATTCAGACCTTATATCATACTATCGTACTACGTATATACTTTATTTTTCAAAATCTTATTAATAAGAACCTATCTCTTAGAGAATAAGTATGAATTAGTCAAGTTTGGAACTTGGAAGAATGACTATAGATGAACTAATGAACGCACGTTAACAAGGATAACACCGGAGAGGTAGGAAGCTAAGTTTCTTCTCCAACAAGTTTCATTTAAAATTAAGAATTTGTATAGAATAGAGGGTGATGCGATTCTGCACCTCCGCGAATTCTACACGTATCCTCACACGTCAACCCCATTCACACCTTAACCGACTTCCTAATTCTCCTGCTTTCATTCATTTCTTCCCCATAAAAAACACCCTCAGTTATTCTGCAATTCTCATCCAAAACAGAAGAATCAATCACAGAGCAATCAATCATGTCCGGATCCTTGTACCCAAAAATCTCCGGCCAATCAAACCCAGAACCCAATTCTGGGTTTGAATCCTCTGAAGAAGTGATCATCAGAATCCCAGGCTCCATGGTTCATTTGATCGACAAAGACCGGAGCATCGAACTGGCCACCGGAGAGCTCACCGTCGTTCAGCTCAAACAGGGGAATAACGTTGTCGCCGTCCTCGCTCGTGTCGGCCAAGACATCCAGTGGCCGCTGGCCAAAGACGAGGCCACGGTCAAGCTCGACGACTCCCACTACTTCTTCACTCTCAGAACTCCGGCGGGCGCGCTATCGGACCATTCGGACGACGACGAGGGTGAGATCAGGGTCGAATCTTCAGAGATTATGCTGAATTACGGGCTGACCATCGCGGGTAAGGGGCAGGAAGGGAAGCTGAGAGAGCTGGACGGGGTACTGGAGAAGTTCAGCGCGTTCCGGGTGGAGAAGGCGGCGGGGACGGCGGTGAGGGGGTGGGGAGTTGAGGCGAAGGATGTCTCTCCGGCGGATATGGAGAAGAAGGAGAAGAGAGATGCGGTGGAGAGGAGTTCCGCGGCGTACTGGACCACCCTGGCTCCGAACGTAGAGGATTACAGCGGAAGCGTGGCGAAAATGATTGCCGCCGGGTCGGGTCATCTCGTGAGGGGAATCTTGTGGTGCGGGGATGTGGCGGTGGATCGATTGAACTGGGTACATGAAGTTTTGATGGAGAGGATGGCCGCAAAGGGCTGCGCCCCCGCGGAGATCAGCCCAACCGCCTTAAAAAGGGTGAAAAGGTATTGCTTAAGACTCTATGACAGTTAATTTAGGACTTTGATTATAGTTCAATTCATCTCATTACAAATTTTCAAAATCTAATTTTTAAATATTTTTACTAATAGAGATTAAGATATAATTACAGTCAAAACGTGCGTTGGCAAGTGTGAAATTTTGACTGTTGCAACTAAAAAAGAAGAACGGAGGAAGTATTTGACTGTGACACTGATGTATTACATTCTTCTTGCTTTGGGGAGTTGCTTTGGGAGTGTGACAGTGATGTCATCGAATCGAATCACAAAATGGAACAGTTATTAGCTAGTCTCCATTTCAATTTAAGAAGTGATTTTAAAATGGAGAAGACAGAGTTTAGAAGTCCTCTCGTTTCTTGTTTAATTACCTTCCATTTCAATTTAAGAAGTGATTTTAAAATGGAGAAGACAGAGTTTAGAAGTCCTCTCGTTTCTTGTTTAATTACCTGTTCAAGGTGATTCTGAGTATTAGTTAAGCAAGACTAGATATTAAAGGGTTCACATGTTATATTTGATGTACTGGACACAGATATTCTCGGGAAATTAAAGAGTGTTTTTTTATTCAGAAACTCTATGGAAATTCTTTGAACTTTTCGAATAGATACTTTTCATATGAAAGATAGACGTTCCTGTTTCCTCGGGATTTTTACATTTCCGTACAACATAGTGTTTGATTGAAACTAATGATAGTCAGATGGGTTTCGTAGAGTGAAGAAGATGACGAAGATGTCGGAGAAGGTGGCAACAGGCATTCTGGCTGGGGTGGTAAAGATGTCTGGAGTGCTCACAAATTCCATTGCGAGCTCTAAAGCTGGCCAGAAATTCTTCAGCCTTCTCCCCGTGGAAATCGTTCTTGCCTCCTTGGATGGATTCAGTAAGTACATTCCTTATACCAATTCAAGTACTTCTATATATATGTCTTTTTCTCTTGTCCCTTGCAGTTTTTTCTTGTAACATTTTCTAATTGGCAATTACTCAACTTCACCTTGACATGGAAACAGACAAGGTATGTGATGCGATTGAAGCGGCTGGCAGGAATGTGATGTCCACAACCTCCACTGTCACAACTGGTCTTGTTTCGCATAGGTAAACACATTGGTATATTGATTCTATGAAAGCTAATTAGATATTTAGGGGTGGTGAAGTGAGTATATGGGAAGGCAGCAAGAGTGAGGACTCTTAATTAAATATGGTGTTCATAAATATGTAGTGTAATTATTCATAACATTTTTGAGAAAATAAATTGTTTTTTTAGTAAAATACTCCATATCACATATTCACATGCAAATAATACGGTTAAGTTCTTTAATTTTCATACGGTTAAGTTCAAAGTTTTAACTTTAATAATACGTACTAAGTTTTAACTTTAATAATACATATATACGTAGCGTAGACTCCCTTCGTTCTCTAATACTTGTTGCTCTTTCCATTTTGGGATGTTCTCTAATAATTGTCTCTCTTTCCATTTTTAGAAAGTTTTTTCAATAAATATACCTATATACTCTTATTCTCTTTCCTACTTTTTCATTCTCTTTCCTACTTTTTCATTTAAACACAACTCACTACACCTCTTACACTACCCTATTATTTTCCTCTTAAAATTTGTGCCAAACCCTATAAGGACATCTAATAGAGAACAGATTGAGTATTACAATGAAGTATTTAAAATTATCTTTTGTGTAACAATACAACATGAATTTTGGATACATGGTCCATGTAATTAACATTTTTTATTTGAAAACAGAAAACTCAATATATATATGGAACTTAATTGTAGTGCCTAGAGATTAGGGAGTACTAAATTAATTTACACGCATCACCACGAGTCATAATGCCAAAGATTAGTGTGTTTTCTTATAGTTAATCTATACTATCTACCGAGTATAATATGTTAAAGTATTATATAGTGTTTCATTTTTTTTTATAGTTTTCCGTGTGGAACAAATACTTTAACATAATATACTACTCAGTAGAAGCTGTTATATCGTTTTCTAACATATAGTAGTAGTATATACTAATATATGAGTTGATTATTAACTTCGGGCAGGCACGGGGAGCAAGCAGCAGAGGTGACTAAAGAAGGGTTCGATGCGGCTGGGCATGCTTTCGGAACTGCTTGTGCCGTCTTTAAGATCAGAAAGGCTCTTAATCCCAAGTCCTCCCTAAAACCTTCATCTTTTGTGAAAGCCGCCGCGGCTGAGGCCAAGTCCAAGTCCAAGCCGAAGTAATTTGCTAGATTGGGTTGTGTTGTTTCTTACTACTTTCTTTAATTAATTTTACGTCTAGATCAATTATGGCATGGATTTTAGGTACTATTTTTATGAGTAGTATTCTCTGATCTATTTCTGATATGTAATAATCTTCGATCTCCATCCAAGAGCAATACAAGAAGAATTTCACGTGGCAAATCAATGTGACGGAGTGGTAGTGATAATTTGGAGAGGTGAGAGATCGATGGGTGTAAGTTGGTGACTTGGTGCATGTATGTCTATGGGCTATGGCAAATTAAAGTTCACAAATGGGTGAAGAATATAATGGAAAGATCCATGAATATTGTGTCAAAAGTGACTTAAAACAATGCCTATTTCTTCAGTCTAATACTACGCATAATGTTCGTTTATTTATGGTCTTGGATCCTACCGTAACCGTCTAACAAATCACAGGTCATGTTGGAATTGTTGGCCATAACTTAAAACATCAACGCTCATTCCGCATTCGACAAGTTAATTGGAGAGTTAAGTGAGATTTGAATTGCTACAAGTTGGAGTATGCACCTCATAGGCTCATACGGATAAGAGGGTTCATGTTTGATTCTAGTTTTGAGAAGTGATTAGTTTTAAGATGATATAAAAAAGAGGTGGTGACAACTCCGGTACACATTTAAAAAATGGCGTACTGTAGCTTTCATTCACCTGATTGGTTCAAATCATTTTATCATTTTTAATTTAGATTTAAATAATTCAATTTCATCATTCTGATTGGTCCATATAGACAAAGGTATGGTACTTTAAGGGTATCATAGAATCTACTTAAAAGGAATGTTGACAGTGTTTGATATAAATGAATCGTTTTTTTGGAAGAATTCGGCTTATATTGATAACACATAATTCAGAGTATGGGTAATATGACAAAAAGAAATCTGACAACCGTCGTCCCGCGAACCAGACTCGGAATTAATCACCTCCAGAGAAGCAATATAATTCGTTTATCCATAAATGGAGGCATCAAAGCCAAAAGCGGTTACCGTATTCCTCTCATCCCCCACATCCAAATCCAACGTCTTACAAACAGAAAGAATAAAGAAAAAGCAAATAACAAAACAGACATAAAAATCACTGGAAAAACAAACAAAACAAATAAGATAAGTCTTCTTCCAAACCCTAGATTTGCTTGCACTCCATGGTGGCGGCTCAGGAGGGGGACGCGTCCGCCGCTCATCCGCCACAACTTCAACACCAGCTTCATCTAGATCTAGTTCTTCTTCCTCTGCCCCATTCTCCATCTTCTTGAATCTGTCCACGAAGCTATCCATGCAAAACTGTTGCTCTAACCTTCTGCCAGAAACTCCGAACTTGTTCATTGTCAAGACCGAACACCTCGGGCACAATCAAAGCAACCAACGAATGCCTTGCTCGAATCAACCAATATAGATCCCAAACGATTAGGTCGATGACCCCACTCCCAAAAAAGAAACAAAAAACGATCTGTTATGCCGAGGTCAGCAACTAACAGACGTAAAATCCAAACTCGCACCATGATCAAACGATCGTCGCCGGACAAACGCCGGAGAAAAATGAGGCGGCTCATTTGCAATTTGTACATTCGATCTTTATTACATGTTCCTTAGATAAATAATAAGCATCCCATCCTTTCTCTTTTCAATTTAGGGTACGCATTTGATATAAATGAATCATAAACATTTAAGATATGCTTTTAGCACTTTCAACTTATATCCTTTTTTTGTTGCACTTTCAGGTTATATTCCTTTCTAGTCTCTAAATGATAAATGTCAATATTTTTGATAGCGATTAGTTTCGAACTTGACCTCCTCCGTAGGATGTCCCATAATGTCATTGAATTGAATCATACTTTTTTATGAGTAGTACACTCTGATCTATCTCTGATATGGAATATGTTCGATCTGCATCCAAGAGCAATACAAGAAGAATTTCATGTGTGGCAAATCAATGTGACGGAGTGCTAGTGATAATTTGGAGAGGTGAGAAATGGGTGTAAAGTGGTGCATGTATGCCTATGGCCCGGGCAAATTAAAGTTCGCCAAGGGGTGAAGAATATAAAGGAAAGATGCTTGAAAATTGAAAATTAAATATCCATCTAAGGATGTTTTTACTTAGAATTGTCAAATTTTTGATAACATATTAATTCTATGGATAATGTTTGATTGTTTATGGTCTTGGGTCATACCGTCGTCACAGGTCATGTTGGCGTGTGACAACATGATATTAATTAACCATCTTAATACTAATTCATAGGTAATGTTAGTATTAAACGTCTTAATACTAATTCACAGGTCATGTTGGCCTCATAACAAAATCGGAAATACCGTGTACATTCATGATTCATATATGCTCGATCAATTAAAATTAAATCAAAACATTAGCACTCTTTCGACATTCCACAAGGTAATTGGAATTGGGGAGTGTTAAGTGAGATATAAATTGCTACAAGTTGGAGTATGCACCTCATAGGCTCATACCGCTTTTATAAGAGGGTGATTCTACTTTTGAGAAGTGATTATTTTTAAGATGATACTCCCTCCGTCGCATTGGACTTTGCCAAATTTCACTTTTTGGGTGTCCCAAAAAATTTTGACACTCTCTTATTAAAGCATCTAATTTGTGTTTCTGGCTTTCTGCACATTTCTCTGTCATCTGCATAAATTTCAAGCACACATTTTTTACTATTCTTATTTTGCACCTGGCAAAGTCCACTGAGACGGAGGTAGTATAAAAAAGAATGTTGATAGTGAAAAAGTGAATGTGAAAAATGAAAGTTAGAGTGTAGAAAAAAAGAGTACTTAAAATAATGAATAAAGTTAGTATCACATTTCTTTTTGTACTTAAATGTCAATATTCTTGATAGCAATTAGTTTCGAACTTGACCTCATTCTTAGGGTGTCACATAATGTCATTGAGTCATAAGTTGTTTGACATGTAGTTTCAAAAGTTCATTTCTGTCTCATTGAGCTTAACTTTGTCAACTTTCCTCTTTTATTTGTCTAAACAACATTGTCATTTTTTAAAAGTAATGAAATTGTGTTTCTATTTATTTCTCTTTCCTCTACATAAATCTCAAACACACAGCTTTTTTAATCACTAGTATTATTTAACATTCAAATCAAAGTAGGCAATGCCTAATAAGACAGAGGGAGCATCACTTAACTTTCGTAAATACAAAACCGAAAAATGTTTTGTTAAGCAATTAAGAGCCTCTTTGTAATATTGTTTTTCGACTTATCAGACATATTAATCATTTTTTCACCAAACACGTAACTTTTGAATTCACGAAAATGAATTGTTTAATAATAATAAGTGTAAGTTTGAAGTTACTTTTCTAGGTTTTTTTTACAAGAATATTACTAAAATAAAATTTAATTACATAAATATGACTATTCATTAGTACAACGTAGTGTTGTGATAACTAAAGTTCAAAACTTGAACATTAATTACTATGATTTCATTACTACTCTAATAACTAGTCATATTTTTGTAAATCATCTTTATTTTGATCATATTTATGTAATTATTTCTTTTATTAATAAAAAAAATATTTTAAATATAAATCTTTCATAAATCAACAAAATCGGTCATCTAAACCATTTCAGTCAAAATTTCAAAAATTCCCACTGAACCAACCGATCTTTGATATTATCAAAACAGTCTAAGTGAAAACACTCAACATAGTGAATTAGAAAAGGGGTTGCTTTGCACCAATTGCACACCCCATTTTATCTTATGTAACCACAACTTGACTATATTAACCTTTTAAATTAAAATAAATAAAAATTAATTAAAATTGATGCTTAGTAGTTTCATTCCCTTATGGCCTACCACACACCTTATCAATTTTAAATTCTCTCTCCATCCAATGACTTGTTGTCTTGTCGTAAACAATTCTTTTTCTATGAAATGTTATCTCATGTTATAACTCTTTAACTTGTGCTTCCATTTTTATAAAAATTATATCAAATAAAATATTTTTTATAATTTATCATATGACACCACTTTACATATGCACGTAGATTTAGAAAAAATGTATTCTGATCAGATCTGTTCAAAATAGATCTGGCGAACGGCCGATAAATATGTATTTACTATTCTTTAGATTTAGTCTAGTCCGATTTGACATTATTGGTTTACATCTATCTGAATCGAGATCAATTCAATTAAAAATATCCTAAATATTAATCACATGTGTTCTCTAGATATAACATATATGACCTTAAATGTGAAATCATGATGGTGTTGGTCAGTTTTACAAGGCGGGACCCTCCACCTTTGAAACTAGTCAAAGAAATAAAAATGAAGATAATTAGTTTACTAGTATTAAAAATGTTACTTATTCAAATATATAATCTCATCTAGAATTGCGCAAAGTTAAAAACAAGAAACAATGACACTAATATTATTCCCTAAGTTTCTAATTCCAAAATTTTTACTTTGTCAAGTGTGAGGTCAAGTTCGAAACTAATTGCTAAGGAGGAATGGTTACGACAGTCGAGCAATGGAGAAGTTGGGTGCTGTCCGGCAATGGTGATGTCTGAAAATGGTGATGTCTGGTGTTGGTTAATGTCCGCTGGAGCTGCGAAGCCGGGGAGAAAGAGACTCCAAGCGGAGGTGCGGAGAAGAATGATCGATTTGGTGCGGAGAAGAAAGATCGATTTGGTGCCCAGAATGGTTTCTCATTATCACGCTCGACGGAGAAGAGGGAGGGGACCCGTAAAGATCACTTTTTTGGGGGGAAATAATGTGATCAACCTTTTGACATTTTCTTTGTTTATCCGTTTCAACCAGTTTCAAAGGCAGAAGGAGCATCACACCCAACGCCTTCCTTTACTTCTAGTTTCAAAGTGTTTTGGAGTTTTGTTTCTCTCAGTTTCAAGGTCGGAGGAGAATTACTCTTCAAAATATGGTTTATAGTTTATACGTAAGTGAAAAAGTGGTATGTGTGCTCGTATGAGTGGTGTTTTATTCCCTAGAATTTCTAGGGTTCTTCTTCTTCTATCAATTTTGACAGTCATTATATGGGTGATTTCTTTACAAATAAATAATGCAAGTGCTTCCAGAGTGTTATGCTATTGTTCTATTGCTATTGATGTTATTCATCAAATTTTAGATATGTTATTCTCAATTCCCTTTATGCTTCTCAAGCCATCTATGACTACACCGTTGATATGTCCTCCTCCACAACTACCGCCACAGGAGAAAGGAGTAGTACGAGATTTTTTATCAAACTATTAAGTACAAAATTAGAATAAATGTCATTGGTTTTCAGAGAGTCGAGGCAGATTTGCAGGTCCAATGTAATCAAGCTACAACGCGACATAACTGGAAACCGATGGCT